TGTCCACTCTGTCATAAGCCTTCTCCAAGTCCATGAACGCACAAAAAACTTTTTGGTTTTTGGCCAAAAACTTCTCGGCGATCATGCGCATGGAAAAGACCTGATCCGTACATCCCATTCCCTTTCTAAATCCCGCTTGCACATCCCAAATTTTTCCGTCAGTTTCTTTCATAACTCTTTCAATTAGTACCTTAGCATACAGTTTTCCCACAATGCTAAGAAGGCTGATACCACGGTAGTTTTTACAGTCCTGCTGTGATCCTTTTCCCTTATATATTGGGACTATCACGGCTTTGCACCAGTCTCCCGGTACCCGCTTAAGTTCCCAACATAAATTAAACAAGGTGTACAGCAGGTCTGCCACCACTCCTTCTCCAGCCCTTAGCATTTCGAGAGATACTCTATCATAACCAGCTGCCTTACCTACTTTCATACTTTTCATTGCTTTCATTATTTCATCTATACTTATATCTCTATCTATTTCCTCTTCTTTCGGAATTTCTATTTCATTTAATTCAAACGTCTCATCACTCATAAACACGCTTTCAAAGTATTCCTTCCATCTCCTTAAACTCAAAACTTCGTCATTCAGAATACAGCCATTCTGGTCTCGTATAGCATTCATTCTAGGCTGTTGTGAATGTCCCCTGGTAGTTCTTACGAGTTTCCAGAACATTTTAATGTTTTCCTGGAAGTTATCCGATATTCTTCTATCATTCTTATCCGTTCTTTCTTGCTTTTTCCTTTCAACTACTTCTTTTACTCTCTTATTTAGGTGTCTAAAAACCGCCTTTTTCCTTTCAATATCATCATTCATACTGCTAGAATTACTAGCCTTGGTTGCTAGTAAATCTAGCCATGCTTTCTTCTTTGCTTCAACTTCCATCCGTACCTCATCATCCCACCATAACGTGTTATTTTTCCTTTCATTTGTTCTCTTGCTTACACCACATACTTCGGTAGCTGCATCCACTAAACCTTTCTTGACATTATACCACACAGTCTCCAAGTCTAAATCATTCATACACAATTCAGCCATACCACTTATATTTTCTCTCAATCTACATTTGAACTTCTCTTTCACACCTTCATCTTGTAGCCTCTCTGTTTTTATACGCTGTAACGCTGTGGTAGACACAGATGTCCGATGCCTCCAACGTCTGAAAAGACCATTAATTCGGCATAAGACCAAGTAATGATCCGTCCCTACGTTAGAGCCCCGGTAAACCCTTGTATCTACCACCGCGCTCCTCATTCTTTCATCAACAATTATGAAATCTATCATACTTCTATCATCACCTCTTTCCCATGTATACGTGTGAATCTTCTTATGACGAAACAAAGTGTTCGTCACAACAAGATTCTTTTCCACGCATACGGCGAGAAGGCTTTCACCATTCTCATTTATACTTTCATCACCAAACGTTCCCAATATCCTTTCATAACCAAGCCTCCTCACCCCAACCCTTCCATTAAAATCGCCTAATATCACAATATTTTCATTAACCTTGCATTTCATTAGCACCATCCTTACCAACTCCCAAAACTGCTCTCGGATATAAGTGGGCTTAGACATGTCTGGGGCGTAGACCCCTAAAACAAACAACTTCTTTAAGCCCACTTTCATTCGTATCCATAGCAGTCTCGGGCTTACACATTCATACTCTTTTACACAATGACCCATTCTTTCTGAAAGGATGATACCGACTCCCTGGCATGCCCGCTCGGTCTCGTCTACACCAGACCAGTACGCGGTATACATGCCATGTGTAGTGGCATCCTTTCCCTTCCGTTTCGTCTCATTCACACATAACACGTCTATTCCTCTATCATACATCATATCGCATACTTCATCCATCTTATCATTCATTCCTCCACATACGTTCAATGTAGCCAAACGGGCTTCCGCAATCCACTTTTCGCCCCTCCGGGAGACAGAACGTGACGGGTGGCGAACCTCGTCGCCGGTTTTCCTCCCGGAGATTCTTCGCACCCCTGCCCCATTAAAGGGGCGCCGGGAACTCGGGGCCATTTCTTTAATATTTTGCCTCATGGTGCGAAAGTAAGTTGTGGTATTTTTTTTTACGCCGCTACCACACGGCGAGGAGCCGAGTCAGTTCTTTCGGCTTTGTCGCTCGTTTAGCACCACCCGGGGGACACGTGTAGGGTGGGCCTAGGATTAGGTGGTCGAAGCCTACGGACGCGAGCGACTCATCCCCCAAATATTGTGGTAAATAATTTAAAATTAAACATTTTGTACAACCGACTTCAATATAAATTATTAAGAATAACTCAAAAACTATTGATGAGACCTTGATCAAATTTATATGGGACCAAATTAGAAGCACCAGCTTTCAAATAAAAAAGAATCATCGAAACAAAACTCATAAAAATAAACATACAGTCGAATTGAGTACCTCCTCCTTTTTGAAGTCGGTTGAAAATAATAGTATGCTACAACAATATCTCGACAACGACTTTAAGAAATGACATTTTTTTACTATCTTCAGAATGATACCGAGTTTAGTCCTTTCAAAAATCCTGAAACGCATATCAAACGCCAATTGATGTTTTGATATGATTTTTTTCAAATTTTGCATCAATTTAAGTGTAATATTTCATTCGTTTCATTCGAATGAAATGTCGTCAGTCACCTTGCGGTAGGCGTTACCATTGGGAAATATATATGAATTTACATTTGAAATTAATTATTAAATATTTTGGGTTATTCGTAGATTATTTAAGATGGCTTGCAAAATTATTTTTTGAATTAGTATAATCTTAAATTTTCTTATAAGGTTCTCGTATTCAATGGCTAATTTAAAAAGCATACAATAAGACCAGGAAATTTAATTTTCCGAAAGAAACAGATAACTACTAGCGTTTGTTATTTATTAATTTCAGTATTGTAAAACATGAAAAGGGACTGTTTCCTCTAGATTCTAGATATAGATTACATATATTATGTAACGTCGCCATACGTAATTAATTAATTTTCAAATTAAAACTCATGGAGAAATCCCTTACAATTCTACTTGGGGTGTTCAAAAAGTGAGGATAACTATGTTATAAGTAATCTCTATCTCTATATATAAAAATCAATTCTGTCCGTTCGTTGTCGTTGTCGTTTAAACTCGAAACTGGCTCGACTGATTTTGATGAAACTTTGCGTGTTTGAGTGTCCTGGATGATCTAAACGATTCACAATTGTACCCGGTAGGTTGTTGTCGAGATCCAGAAATAACCCGTGCGAAGCCGGGACGGATCGCTAGTCTTTATTAAATGCTACTTATATTTTTCGACATAGTCATCTTTTAGTGTAATATGCTTGAATTTTTTTTTCTCTAAGCTTATTCCTGTACTACTACAACGACTACTGCTTCATCATCTTCCAAGCCGAATGCAGCCATCGCAACGGTGGACTTGTGAGCCGGGCCACTATCAAAACTCGAGCTCTATGCTCGAGATATTCAATCACTATCACCCCTTAAGTATCCCAGAAAATAGAGCCCATGATCATATAATATAGAGATCTCATCGTCGGAAGGACTTGCCTTGAATTTTTTAATATTAATGATAATGACCTTTTCCTACTGACTGTACTCGTAATTATGTTTCGGGATCGTAATTGTGAAGCCACGTATCGTGCATTGTTATAAAATGAGCCCAAAAAATACTAAACATACTCAGACTGCTTTGTTCTTTGTGCATCGCTGAGTATTCGTGATACCTAAATAGCTGAATCTTTTTCTATATTCAAGCGTTCATCTAAAATGTTATACATGTGTCCTGTCGACATATTTGTTTTTTAGCAATTAAACGTACTGGAGACGTTGGTCGTTTTTGGTTTTTTTTTCTAGAATAAAGGTATTATTTATAAAGGTATTTTTATAGGATAAACGAGTCCACCTGATGGTATGTGGATACTGTGGCCCATAGACATCTACATTTATCCTCGATTAAGAGTCAATATGCAGATGCATTGTCACCTCTGAGGACTAAGATGGAATGCCTCGTATCCAGTAAAGAGGGTCTCCGGTTCTCTACGCTCACCATACGAAACACAGCAGTAATAACCTGCTATTTTACGCTGGTATTCTGTGAGAGCGTGATCCTTCGTTTGTCGAGCCGACCCATTCTTGCTAGAACTGTAATATAGCTGCAACATGGCACGCTCGACTCTACCACGTTTAAGATGTACTTCCACGCTTAAAACTCTGCGCACCAACGTGCAACTGTAGAATACGGCGGAGCATATACAGCCCTGATGTGTGCTGTAAATCTTTGATTACCTTTTCCGTTGTGAAAATTTTCAAGCACAAATACTTAAGGCGAGGATTTCCTTTTTCCGCTGCATGTATATTTGTTCAGCACGAATTAAGCGTGCGATATTCGATGGACAAAAAGTTACTTTAGGTTTTTGCTTATTATCAGAAAATAAAGGATCTGAATAAAAATTTAGCCGATGAAGAATCTAATTCAATAACATGCCTTTTGTATTATCGAAAAATATTATATAGTTATCGCTTAAAAAAACGACAACTCGAACGTCAAAGTTTTTTCTCGGCAATTCAATTTTAATTATTTTATCTCCATTAGTATACAGTATTTTAAAAATCCATTCGATTTAAAATTTTATTGAGTATTTTATGTATGCAGATATTTTTTTTCGAGTATATTATATTATTTATTAGTATATTTCAGGAAGTATTAATTCTTGTGACTGAAAATTGTGTTCAAAATACAATGTTTTGTACGACCTCTTTCTCAACACGTAGAGTAAAATTTTTAAATTTTTGCTATTTTCGCTAACACCCTACAACTAACCAAACAAACGACTTCTATTTTTAAAAACAAACGATAAATAGGTAAAATTTTTAGGTATCTTACAGATATTGTTATTTTTTTAATTCTAAAGAGCTTGTACCGTATTCTCACCTTTTTTAAACGCTTCTCATATTGTGTATGGTATGTTACTTAAATTTTTAATATTTTTTCAGGTGTGCATGGCATTATCGGCTCTATATCACACATTCTCATGCCGATCGGAGACCGATTATAACACGTTCTTGATGTACGACCTCTTCGGTATAGCGCTATCGTTACTCGCCATTTACACTTCCGGTGTCTACTATGCGTTTTGGTGTCATCATGTAAGTACAATAAATTATATTGTGTTAGGTATGAAATACTGTGACAAGCAACTTCGGATTTCATTAAATTCATATAGGCATTAAAGTTGATTCACACCATTTCGCGGCCATTGCGAATTCTTTGGTTAATTAATTCCAAACTTGGTTCTTGTTTATACTTGAGAAGAAAGTCTCCTGATGACTAAGATGAAATGCTTTGTTTCCAGTAACACGGGTCACCGGTTCTCTACACTAACCATACGAAACACAGCAGCATTAAGCTGCTATTTTTTTGCGCTTGAGAGCGTGTTCCTTCTCCGGCCATACCAATCCATTCGTGCAACAATTAAAATATAGCTGCATCATAGCTCTACCACTTATACATTTAAAAAAATTATAAGAAGTAATTTTACGGATATTGTACGTTTATTTTTAACTTAATACTTGACGTTTGATTCCGAAATGTCAAAGGAATGAATATTTGCACATCCATTTTGTATTTATCCAATAATCTGTCGAGGTTTGTTACTGCACGGGTGCACGGGCCTCTTTAAACTTTCCACTGTGACCTGCCAAGCATAACTCTTCTCAAGTTCGGACCAGTTATTGCCTAGTAATTTCTCTTCCCTCTTATCTGCCTCTTACTACTTATATTATAATATTTTTTCTATTTAATATCTATGGTGACTTTGTGTCTCCATTTTATCATTGGTCGTTAATCGGCCTATTCTACGAAATGTTTTAAATGTTTGATTTTGGTCTAACTTCGACACGTTGTTCTTCTTTATACTAAGTATAAAACGCATATGGACGATGAAGTGATAAGGCTTTGATAGCGTTTCTATAAAATAACTAAACGAAGTTTAGAAGCTCTAACTTAAATATTAATTTAAATTTGTTCTTGTTTGTCAATTGGCAAGTGTGCTCTAGGTTTTAAAAAATATTAAAAACAAACCAGTTTAAAAATCTTACGCCACAACAGCGAGTTCCGGTACTGCTCGATTCTGTCACTACAGAGCGCTTGGCGAACCTTAAAATCTGTTTTAATAAAATCTAGTCTAGGAGTTAGAGCTGAAAACTTTTTAATCTAATTTTTTTTTCGATTTCCTTCAAAATTTTGCAGTGTTTTTTTAATTTATTTTGACTCAAAATCCTATCATAAGCCTAAAATTGACTACAATCTCACCTGGTGGTAAGTGGCGATAAAGCCTTAGATGTCTTAGCGTAACAAAAGCCACACTTGTCTTGAAGACCAAACGCTCTTAAAATTACACTCCTTTGCTGTACGCATTACGCAAGGCGAAACAAAACGTTTCATCGAATGCGTGAGACGTGTAGACTAAAGACAAGCCGAGCGTCTGGTTGTCCGATGGTGGAAAGGAGGAATTAAATCCCTCTCTGGAATGTATACTATAGAATGTCGGGAGCCTGGTTGAATTTGCGCCTGTGCTTGAGACTGAAAATGTTGGTTTCAATATTTATCAAGGTACTAGTGAACTACTTCGCCTCGCCTGGCTTTGTTTAGGTAGGGTTTATTAAAACGGCGTTATTTAAATTTAAGATATTCTTCAAAGACCATTTATTACATTGAGGTAATATGTTATTACGTAGTAACATATATTACCTCAATGATTTATTACCAATTTATCAACTTAAAAAAAAAAACTCAAGTTTTTCGGACGAAATACAGCCTAGATCATGCCTGGCACTGCTCTTTATCTGTTTTCAAGTATGTGACGATACATCAGCAATTCCAAAGTTTAGCCCGGAGGGACAGACAGACACACAAAAAATTGAAAAATGATTATTCATGTCTTAATGACTTGAAAATAACCTACTCAGCTCAATAAAGAGCAATTCATTATTGTGCTATTACACACAGACACTTCAATTTTATTTACATGTATAAATTACTGCAATAACTTCCGAATTCCGAATAATTTCAAATGTACTCAGAAGAGTGCAACGATAGTAATTAAGTGCCTCAAGCTTAGAAAGTGTACTATGTCAATTCTTCTCGTATTCGATACAATAATGTACAACTCTTTTTATGCAATCTTTGTTTATTTTTTTAAATTAGCCATAGACAAACTTTGTATATTTTATGAAATTTTGTTGTAAAATCGTGTGTTTGCAAAGTAAGATGATGCGATGAATTGTTTTTTTCTCTCTTAAGTATAGTGTACGTAGTTTGCGGTCGCGGGTAATTGACGAGTAAAAGTTACTCGGCTTAAGTGAAAACTTTCCCATTACATGACATTACATTTTTTTTGCTACAGAAAGGTGTTAACTCGATTGGAGGGATAAAGATCTTTTATTCTTATAATAGAATTGCTGCTATAATTGCTGTAGTGTAGTCGATAGTTATGTCAATGAGAGCTTCCACGACTTACTCTGCTCTAATTTGTTGGAAAAGTGTAGAGATTACTGTTTTTTTTTTCTGATATATTGGTTATATTTTATATTTATTACATTAAAACGAATAAACCAAACTAAGAATATTCCTAAAAGAAGAAAAATTAAAAAAATAAATGTGTAAAAAGTTAAAGAATACAACACTTATGCATTGTTTTGTGTATATGTTACAGTCAAAACTCATAACCGGTAAAAACCACTTTTGACTGTAAAAAATCCGACAAAAGTAGTTTTGACTAAGGACGTTGCTCAATACCTTTTTAACTGATTTTTGCAGTGAAAAGTAGTTTTGACTAAGGACGTTGGTAAAAACCATTTTTAACTGCAAAAATATTGGATAATAGTGATTTTGACCAAATCACAATGGCAAAAGCTACTTATCAACTTATCGTAAACTTTCCAAAAAAAAAAATATGTAAAATATACTCTGTCTGATGATGAAAGCGGCACATGGGTACCATGGCATTACCGAAAACCTAACTTCTTATAGTGACCATATCAATATTAAAAATCTATGTTTTTAAAACATAAAAGATTTTTAATATTGATATGGTCACTATAAGATGTTGTTAGGTTAGTTAATCACGTTATAACTTGAGACAGAAGCACCCTTAAGTAGGGACTGAATAAATTAACCGACTTGGTATTTTAGTACACAACTTTTTACGGTAGAAGAACTGAGTTGCGAGACGAGGTTTTTTTTAAAAGTTATGTTTTTGATGACATACAATTTACATCTGCCTATACTGTCGTCGGCGACAGTATCTGAACTCTGAACTTTGAAATGGTGGCGGTATTGTTACCTAATGTAACAGAAACATATCAATATCTCTCTCAATAGTCTCTCTCAGATTGTAGTTTTTTTACATATTGAATGCCTAAATGCAAGGATTTATGAGAATGAGCGTGAAATATTTGCTGATATATATTTTTTGCACAAAAATAACCCGTTATGGTAAATATTCACTGTTTTATCAATATACATTAAACCATGTCTAATTCAAGCGATACTTCTTACGAGAAAGTTATAAACAAAAAAAAACCATTCTTTTTTCATCGAAACTGAGAGTGGAAAATTGCAACTGTAATTATACTCGCTTTGTTGATTTCGATATTAACAGGGCTCTAAATGGTTCTCTGTTAGATTTCCTATATATTCTATGATGGTTTAGAAAAAGTTGGTATATAAATAATAAATACCCAAGAAAATCGATAGAGAAGAAAGCTTCTAGGTTGACAACCTTGTACAGTACAAGAAACGGGAATTTATGTTAATGATTGCACAGGGCTCAGGAAAATGCTTTGTGGCAATGTATTTGTTCGGTAAAACAACTTTACTTTAGATGATTATTCTCAATTTGTTATCTTTATATCGTAAAATAAACGTAAATCTATTATGTTATTACAATTATCGAGCCCATTTTTATCAAATTACTTCAATTTATCTGCTCTTATCAATTTGAGTTTATCGCTAATATGCTTAGATTTCCATACTTGTTTTTTTTAAAACACTACGTCATATTATCGTCATTTAATATATAAAAAATAATTTTTGTTTGTTCATGGCAGGGCGCGGACCGCGAACTCGTGTTCGAAAGGAACTCGTGAAAGGTTCGAATCCACCACGATTACTGTCGTGAACCACTTCTAACACAAGTAGTTTAATCTTACCAGAAGTGGTTTAAGGGAATATTAGTAATGTTTAATAGCATTACTAGTATTTTTTTTTAATTTTAGGCGCTACCATACCGTTCCTCAGATTGCGGTAAAACCTTAGAGTATAAATATTTTAGGGGTAAAAGTTTGTCAAGTTATTGCTTGGACTTGCGCCAATAGTACAATTAACTCACAGTAGGTGGCGCACGTATAGTACCGACAAATTCATTTGAAAGTTAATATATAATTCAACTTCAATGAATGTATTATCATTCACAATTAAACAATATAACTCTTCCAAATTTGAAACGATATTTCCACAATTATTTCTTCTGCGGCAGCAACGCGCCGGGTACCAGCTAGTTATTAATAATAATGTTATTCTAAATTTACTTTACTTTTTTCATTGCAAGATTGCCGTGGACGTAAGACTGCGCTTGATAATTTCGTATAGTGTTTGAACAGAATGAGTTTACATTCCCGTTGTGATAGTTGTATGGTTTGGTCTAACGAATGTATGCCTTTCTGTTTCTGTTGCCAGGTTATTACGTACATTTTGAAGACAGGTACACATGTCACAATTACAATTATATATTCCGTACAATTCCGAAAATGTTTGAAAAAATTAAATAAATTGTTATGCAAGCTATTGAGTATACTCTAAGTTGGGTATTTGTATGAAAAAATCAGGTTTTGGATCAAAAACCTAGGCTTTTTATCAAGAACCGGAAGAAGACAAAGTTACTACTTTATTTCATCATAAACCTGAGAAAATCCTTAAGCCACTTTAAATTTTTTATAAACATCAACAAGTTCAGTTTTTTGATAAGTATAAAAACAGAATTTGTTCACTTTAATGATAAGATTAAGTAATCATTTTGTCTTTTTCCGATTCTTAAAAGCCTAGGCCTTTGATCAAAAACCTGATTTTTTATGATAAAACTGCGACATATTATGATTATAAGGGTAGTCCGAATCGCACTTGGGACCATTTTTAACACATCTTGAAAAACGTGAACGCTAAGGAAGAATCTTATAAAACTTTACCGTACAACTATGTACTATCGTACATTAGCATGCTATGTTTAGTTATACTATGTTAATTCGATGAACTCCTATTCTTCTGTTTCGAATCACTTAGAACATAGATCATCAATTAGCTATTCTCGACAGCAAATCCTTTAACAGCGTTACAAAACATTTGCAATACGTCAATGACCTTCTGGAAGCATCAACTATGTCGTCAATACAAATTGGATTTTCTATTACTTAATATGTATGTGCGACGACACACGTGTCAACTTGACCGTTACTAGGGCAAGGTTGCATGTGACCCCCACGCCCTGCAATAGTAGCCATTTTGTTATACAAAAATTACCATGTAAATATCGCCCAGATTCCAAATTCAGCTGCGTTTTTATTTGTATTAATATCTTATTTATTGTAGAATCTAGATGTCACAAATTACAACACCATATTAATGTTGTATTCTTGTACTATTATTTATTGTGTGGTTGTATTGTGTTACGTTTATATTTACGAGTAGCTACAAACATAAGCTCTTTACAACCACATAAACCGACCTTAAATTATAGACATCCTATTGCAATTAAACCTATGAGATGATAAAAGTTTTGTAGGTGTTTAAAGCAATGCCAATAATAACACTTAAATAATTTAGAATTAAAAATTTTGTACAGCCGACTGCAATATGTGGTCTGACATTGATCAAATTCATATGGGACCACACGAGAAGTACCAGCTTTCAAATAAAAAAATAATCATCGAAATCGGTTCACCCAGTAAAAAGTTATGAGGTAACACACATAAAAAAATATAGTCGAATTGAGTACCGTCTCCTTTTTGGAAGTCGGCAGAAAAGAATAATAATTATTAATAAATAGCTGAAGTTCATCATGAACATCTTGTTTCAATCCATCCATCCATTAGAGCATATAAATGTTCACTGCTGAACACAGACCCTCCCATAGTTTTTCTCGTAGGGGAAAATTTTGTCACACACTGACCTACAGTTGTCACGCTTGGCAGGCAAGTTAGCATCCGCAGATTTTTATAATTTTGGGTTGTTATCAGGAAGATGCTGTTGTCCATCCTTCTGTCGCCTCTTACGACACCCAAAGGATGATATTGAGCAGTGGCTATTCTTACACCCTTACCTCGTTTGAAGCGGAACACATGAAATCAATATTTCATAATTTTTTAAGATCGTGACTATATTTTTATCTTTCTCTTTCGTAATGAATACTTAATACCGTAATTACAGGAACTGAAGACGTTCTACATGATCACAGTGACCGTGATATTTGGTGTGGCGATGGCGTTGCAAGTGCCGCGCTTCAACGTTTCCTATGCCGTGAAGATGTGCGTGTTCATCGGCTGGGCGGCGTACGGAGTGCTGCCCACCTTTCACTGGACCTACGTTATGGGCGGATTTGATAACCCCATGGTTCAGGTAATATGGTGAAATTATCGTGTATTATACTCTCAATTATATGATATATTTAGCATTATATACCTCAATTGCCATAGTAAGAGACATGCCCAAGGAAACGTTTTGAAACATTCTGTAGTAATTCTTAGAAATATTTTTAATGTGGCGGTGTAAGTGGACGAAAAATGGGGTTAAGAATTCATCACCTCATTTCGTCTTGTGGTGTGAATCGTTTAGCCTCTAATGTATGGCGAAGTTTAATAATTAAATATGTTTTAATTTTATTTTCTACCGACTTCAAAAAGGAGCCGGTACTCAATTAGACTGTATGTTTTTTTATGTGTGTTACCTTATAACTTTTTACTGGGTGAACCGATTTCGATGATTCTTTTTTTATTTGTAAGCTGGTGCTTCACATGTGGTCCCATATAAATATTAATTAATTATCAAGGTCTGACCAATAGTTTTTGAGTTATTCTTAATCATTTATATTGAAATTGGTTGTACAAAATTTTTAGTTTTAAATTATTGTAATATATACATTTTATTTTGAAACTGGCAAAAAATATTTAATGATTTAATTTGATTAAATACATCTTCTTAATGACTTAACCATCTCTGGGTGACATCGCATTTGGGATCTACTTTGTTTAAAACTAGGTATTGCAATTTTCATTGGCTGCAATTGGCCACTTACCGTCATGTGAATGAAACTAAGCTGTCACGCTAATATTGTCATATGTTCTTTCAGCCACCAAATACCATCTACATATATTAAACTTGAAGAAGAAACTAAAATTTTCTAAAGTATTTTTTAGTAACTTTGATTTAAATAATGCTTAAAAACATTTTAAAGTATTTTTATTGTAAATTTAATATATTACTACTAAAAAAACTAAAATTAATATTGTTAAATGAAATTGATAACATTATAATTGAGATTCACAAATTGGCAATGTTAGTTTTTATTGTTAAACTACGATTATATGGAAAAAAAATTCCATGACCAGTTGAATTGTTCTTGATATAATATTATTGCTTTTTGTTTCCAGATTTTCTTTCCCAGAGTAATTGGCATGTACGTCATCAGTGGAACGGCGTTCGCCATTTACGCCTTCAAGGTAAAATTAAGTTTATTTTTTATTTTTATATCATTTGAGATCTTTTATCTGGTATTTAAATTACTTGTCTTGCTCGTGCACGCATTTACAACTTCTTTTTTCTCAGCCATGCACATTTTAATGTTAAAACGAAAAACGCGTTTGTACTCGTACATATTTTATTTCTAGCGAAACGTTTTGTTTATTATTTACCTACCCACAGATTTGTGCATCACAGTGTTATCAATAAAATACACTAATATCATCTCAAATTGATAAAATACATGTGATTTGTTTTTAATTTAATTTGTATAATCTTTGCAAAAAACAGGCGTTTTGAAAAATCTCTATTTGAGAGGATTCAATTACGTATTTTGACAATAAACTAAAAATACTTTTTAAGAGTTGTCAAAACAAAAATATCTATAGAAATCGTTTGAGAATATAACGTAATGACGCTATGACGTTATAACATTATATTCTCATAAGATTTTTTTTTACAGCCAAATAATAATATTATTTGCATATTTTTAAATATTTAAATTTTTAATCTTTACTTAAAATAGAAAATCAACCAAGTTCTTAGACACTACTTAGGAACTTACTTCTACTACTAGGAAATTCTAATTATATGATGCAGTAATTTAATGATGATGCAGTAGATTAATTTATAATATTGAAATTACGAGTACTAAAACTTGTGCTGTAAATTCATGCTCTACATTTCTGTACATATAACGACGCAAAAACTTCATAATTTGATAAAGTATGTAAAAATGTATTTTTTTTATAGAAGAGGGGGCGAACGAGTATGCGGATCACCTGATGGTAAGTGACTACCGCCGCCCATGAACAACCGCAACACCAGGGGAATTGCAGATGCGTTGCCGGCCTTTTAGAAAGGTGTAAGCTCTTTTCTTGAAGGTTCCTACGTCGTATCGGTCCGGAAAAATCGCTGGTGGTAATCGATTCCACAAGGAAGTTGTGCGAGGGAGAAAACTTCTTCTAAATCGCACAGTGGTGGACCGCCAATCATCCGGATGGTATGGATAGTAACGCGAGTTTTGTCGCGATGTGCCAAATCAAAACCAGTCCGAGACTTTGTTAAGCAAAGACTCGACTTCAGATACAAGTTTGTCCCGGTACTCGGCGACGTTTTCCCGAGATATATTGGCACGGCCGGTATATAAGACATCACCAGTGCTGTCGTCCGCATAACAATGAATGCTACCAGTTTGCAACATATCATTGATATGCAGGAGAAACAGCGTTGGTGATAGCACGCAGCCTTGTGGAACACCAGCGTTGATAGGCTTGAAATCAGAGCATGCACCGTCTACTACGACCTTGATGCTCCGATCAGCAAGGAAACGGGTGATCCATTTGCACAATTTCTCGGGAAGCCCATAGGAAGGAAGCTTCGAAAGAAGCGCTTTGTGCCAGACCCGATCGAAGGCCTTCGCTATGTCCAAACTAACCCCTTGGACTCCACTGCCTCCGCCCATCTATGAGTCAGATAGGCTAAAAGATCACCAGCTGATCGATCCCGACGAGTTGGCATGAGTTGGCAGTTTATAATGGATTCCATTATTTTGGAGAACAAGGAGGTGATGGCGATAGGCCTGTAGTTGGATGGGTCTGAGCGATCGCCTTTTTTAGGGATCGGGTGGACCAAAGCGTCGAAAAAAGTCTTCCTTGAATTCGGGACTACGCCTTGGGAGTAGGAGTACCGGAAAAGACGCGTTAAAACCGGTGCCAACTCCGGAGCACACGTCTTCAGCACAATGGGGGGGACTCCATTGGGCCCACTCGACTTGTCGATATCCAGGGAGAAGAGTGCTTTGCGAACCGAGCGCTGTGTTAACCGCACATCTGGCATGGAGCACTCACATCGCGCGATGGTCGGCGGTGTGTTCCCCCCGTCATCTAGAGTCGAGTTGGACGCAAAGAGAGAGCTCAACCGATCGGCTTTCTCCTTTGCGGCATGGGCCAGTGAGTCGTCCTCTTTGTGCAGAGATGGAAGAGATGGCTGACAGAAGTTTCCTTGGACAGCCTTGGCGAGACACCAGAATGCACGGGTTCCCGAAGGAAGGCGAACTAGCTTCTCGCCAATTCTGCCGATGTGCTCAGACCTTGCCTTGGCAATGACGCTTTTGAAGGACCTGGAGGCGGAATTATACTTCTTTTTAAGTGCGCTGGTGTTTACATCCCCAGAACGCTGATGCGTAAGCCCAGGCCCGGTAGCTCACCATACTTCGGATCAGACAATGGTCCGAAGAGCCCAGAGGGGCATCGACGGAGACCTGATATCCGTCCGGATGAGAGGTCAGCAGAAGGTCCAACAGGGAAGGTACATGGTCTTCCACATCTGGGATCCGCGTAGGCGAAGTAACCAGTTGTGTTAGACCATATGCCAAGGCAAAGTCATAGAGAGATCTACCCGCATTATCGGTTAAACGAGAACCAAGCCATTCAGCGTGGTGGGCGTTAAAGTCACCGCGTATCACGATCTCTGCGGATGGGACCTGTTGTAGCACGGAGTCTGCAGCCATTTGGACGTGGTCGATGAGTCGGTCTGTGTCGGCATTACCGCTATGGGATCTATAGAGGCACCCGTAGACGCGGGGATGGTCGTCGCTGTCTACGCGCAGCCATAGGATGGACAGGTCCGTACCTTCAAGACTGCCGAGGCGTCGAAAACAGATGTCCTCTCTGACGTATACGCAAACTCCAGCCCGTAGGAGAGATATGTAGTATCAGCCGGAGAGGACACCTGAGTCTCGGTTACAAAGAGCAAGGCCGGCTTCGCCGTCTCTAGATGGTAATGGACAGCGTTATGGTTGGAATGAAGTACCCTGATGTAGCAAAAATTAACGGATAGCGTGACAGGGGTCGCCTTGGTTGTATTGCTCCGCTTGCCCCGAGCAGCATTAGTCGCGAGCGGAATTTTGCCCCCCCCCCCCCCCCTCCAGAATACACGGGGCAGCCTGAGCACCCACGCTCAGGAGTGGAGTTTTTTTGGTCGTGGATGCTCAGTGAGGGATTCTCCAGCGGTGCTGGTACCCTCCTGGGGTAGTCTTTTATTTAATTCCACTACCATATTGATGGGGGGGGGGGGGGGAACTGGGCCTCCGGCCACCTGCACTCACCAAGCGCAACGCAGAGGTTAACCTCTACTTCACGCTGGTATTCTGTGAGGTCGTGGTACCACCCCGGTTCGAGCCGGCCCATCCGTGCGACAGCAAAAGCTGCCGTTTGGCTCTACCACTGTTGACTATAGACTATGTTTGTAGTTACCGTATCGTCTTGTACTATTCAGATACCAGAACGCTGGTTTCCTGGCAAGGTGGACTACGTTGGCCACTCTCACCAGTGGTGGCACATACTGGTGCTGGGCGCTTTGTACTACTGGCACAACTCCGCCATGATCTACGTGCAGTACCGCATGAACCACGGCTGCGCAAACACCATGCGGATATTCTAAGTAATCCCACCTTTTATAGTAAAAAAACTGCTTCAACATCGTTTTCTACTATGCATAGTTGAACCCTCTTATGAGTTTTCCTTGTCGATATTGCAATGGTGCAAGTATGCGTTATAAGTTGTTTTTGTTTTATTTCATTCTACTTGTTCAATACTGCTATAGTCACATAAAATAATTAGATACATCTGCTTGTATTATTTATATACAGTGTCAAATGAATTGTCACCAGGACTATATCGACGAGGAAAGTACCCAATAATCTCTATCGTATTTAGTGATATTGATCGACAGTTGTGCTTTGCACATCACTACAATTGTATCCATAAGTGAAACAGGGCACAGACAATACACGGTACTGCTTTGAATGGGTGCGATAAGGAAATGTATGTAATAAATATTGCTATTACCGTTTTGACAATAGCGTGTTAAAAATGAATGAATTTAAAATTTTGTTATTAATATAGTTATATAAATTTTCATAATTTTAATCAAAATAAAATTGTTTTATATTTGATAGACTCTTTATTGCCCATATTGGTAATAATATTATAAATCAGTTTTATTGTTTAAAATTAGTCATAAAAGAATTGTGAATTATTTTGATTATCAACTGTAAATTTGTGCTACCATATATTGACTATAAGATTTGTAAATATTGAATAGTATTGAAATTTGTGATATTTGATTCATATTTAAAGAATAAAGGTATAAAAATGTCTCAATGCGGGGCACCTGCCAAAGGCCCTCTCATTTTAAGAGGGTAGACAGATATCTGATGAAAAAAGGTGTACCTATTTATACATTATATAAAGCGGCGTTGCAACCGCACTCATATTTATCAGGGGTTCGCTATTAATATACACGAGCAAATATTGTTGTTATGATTGACTTTCTGAAATTTCTTTTGTGTTCATATAAAATTATTATAATATTTTAAATTAAAAAAGGACTTAAAATAAAATTAACAAAAATTTATTATTAAAATAATATTTACTCGTCTATATTATATTAATAATAAATTTTTATTTATTATTAAAATAATATATACGAGTTAATAGTAATAATATTACAATAATTTATTATATAATTGGACTCGTATATAAATATTATAAAACTTAATATTAAAATTCTACCTAAATTGTAAAATATATTTATTTTATTGCATTATCTAACGAAAGCAATGGTGATATTAGTAAAGTACACAAACAAAATGTCACAACGTTAGCGTCACAACTCATTCTTTAATATTAAACTATAATGGCTTATTGCTCAATGATTTAAAGTTAACCCTAATTTAATTAAATTATTATCTGTGTTTTCTATTATATCCAACTTTTTTATTTTGTGATTTTTATTTACACATACAGGGTTATTTTGCAATAACCGACCAAATTTGCAGAGAAGGTTCAGAATAAGTAATATATGCAAATGGTGAAAAAAAATAATTAAAAAAATTTCTATTATTATATCCATTTAATTGATTGTCATTCATAAATATCTATTTTACTACGCACGCAATCATTCGTATGTGTCGATCGGTGACGAATAACGAAAACTGTGAATTGAATCGCACACAGAGGAGCGCGCGTACGCGTAGTTGAAATCACATTCAATTTGGAATATTTTCAAATAAAAGTAGAAGCCTTATTTACTCGTACTTACAAAAACTATAATAACGGTATATCATTATTTATATATTTGAACTTAAATTTAAAATTTGGTTACTCTTTGAAAAATAACCCTGTATAATTGAACCGATGTTTAATAATTCGTGCTAATATTCTGTGTGTGAGTGTAAAAATATTTCTTGTCTCTTAAAACGTATATGTATTCCCTCCATTCCATCCCTCCTACTCTTGTTGAAAAGAAGTGTCTCTACTCTCTAGCATTTAACTATCGTCTGTGATTTTAAATATTTTTACTTTTGTTGTTTTTTTTTTACTTCGAATATTTTTTCTGTGTTAAGCGGGTTGGCGTTAGTTTTTATTATTTTATACCAAGTGAAGGATAATAAATATTTTGGTACAATTATTGACTTTAATTTCTCCTATTTAATTTCATTCATAACAGTGAAGAGGTGCAGAGCCATCTGTATCGTTATGTCCCCGAAACTTTTCACCGTTGCATTGGAAGACGTATTCAAGCTACTGGACTGGAAAGGATACGGTATTATCACAGAATAAATAATAGTACAAGAATGGTATTATTAACATCAATGGCGAGTACATCACTCCCCTTGCATTTGCCTACAATATACTCATTACGGCAGAATCGCTGGAGGACCTAAGCACTATGCTCAATGACCTCAATAGTGCCTCCCAACGGATAGGTCTTAAGATGAAAATGGATAAAACAAAGATCATGTATAACGTCCATGTTACACCTATGCCGATAGTTGTTGGGAGCACTAAGCTCGAAGTTGTTGACGAGCATGTGTTTACCTGGGACAAATAGTGCGATTAGGTAAGTCCAACTTCGATCGAGAGGTCAATCGACCGATTCAACTCGGCTGGGCAGTGTTCGGGAAATTACGAGACATCTCGTTTAGTATACCTCAAAACTTGAAAACGAGACTGTACAACCAGTCCGTGTTGCTAGTGATGACTTATGGATCTGAGACGTGGTCCTTCACTGCTAGCCGTATGAGGAAGCTCAAGATCTCTCGGCGAGCTATGGGCTAGAGGGCTATGTTCGGGGTTTATGTGCGTGACGTAGAAATGAGGATATTCGCAGTAGAATCAGAGTGACCGACATAGCTCAACGGGTTAGTAAGGTAAGCTGAAGTGGAAATAGGCCGGCCATATAGTTCGAAGAACCGACAACCGATGGAGAAAAAAAGGTTATCGAGTGGCAGCCTCGTACCGGTAGGCGAAGTGTAGGGCGACCCCCCACTAGATGGTGCGACGACCTAGTAAGACATGCAGGAAGTCGATGGATACAGGTGGCTCAGGACCGTGCTTTGTGACGTATGGCGCCATAGAGCTATTCCATAGTGTCGTTTAGCATAGTATTTTTTTACTTCTTGCTTCAATGAGTATAGCACAAAAAAGCGCTAGATTTTTCGCTAAAAGTAATGAATGTTAAATGTTCGTGTTTTTGGAAACGAATGAACATTTGGGTAGAACCAATCATCACCAAGCAAAAATCGTGATTTCATAGAAATCAAAAAGCGCTAAATCGTCCGCTAGGTGTTAAAAGACTTAACCGGTTCAGTGCGGATGGCACGCCAGGCGTGCCATCTATTATTTTTGTGCGTGGCGTATGACACGCGAGTCGTGTCCTTTGAAAAATCGTGATAACTCGCTCAAAATGCGTTTTTGGAAGATTTATCCAGAACAAAACATTCATTATTTTGCAAGTAGTTCAGGCCTACAGCTTGTATCTGGATATTATGAAAATTTGTAATTTTTAGGGGTTGACAAATTTTTTTTTAACTTGTACATGGTACTCTTTTTACTTTGTGGGTTTTCTAAATCATGTTGTGGAAAAATAGTCTAATAAGTAACAAATAATAGCACTCATTGCGATCGCTAACAAACTCAAGTTGTAAATAAGTTTCTGGAAAACAAGTCTCCCGTTAAAAAAAAAACAATGCGTAGAACCGTCGTCTACTATCATATATATCATATAATTTAATTTAATAAAAAGCAAGGTTTTCCAGGGTGATTTAGCTGTATATCTATATATTTATATAAATAATTTCTTATAAAACAAAAAATAGTACAAAAGGTTTGTAATCTCTGCATAAAAAAGTCACTCTCAATTTCAAAGAAAACACGTAGAAAAACACGTAGCTACCCACTAAAAACAAGTATTCTTCCATTTGTAACTGATGTTTGATGTCAATTAAACTTAGGTCTAAATAAGTGAAAAAAACATAAAAAGAAAATTATTTTTACACATGGCTGATGGCACAATAGGCGTGTCATCAACGCCAGGCGTGTCACGAAATATATGTTCGCCGCTATAGCTAAAAGTTGTCGAAAATCGGCGCCGCAACGAATCGGTTAAGAAAGCACTATATCTAGCGGCAAAAGCATTAAAATGGTGGTAGCTCTACTTCTGCCCAGAAGTTGCCGTCATAGTTATAATCGGCCACAAGTACATATTATTATTGTTGTACATTCTTTTATTGATAAAAAGAAATGTATTTTAATTTATAAATAATTGCTTTGTTCTTAACTATGAATATTTTAAAATAATTTTTGTAAACTCTAAGGCCGGCCATATACATACGGAATTCCGTTTCGATATTCCGATTCGGAATCCCGAACGCAGCAAGTCCATATAAAATCTATGACCCGCCACACACGTACGGTAGTTTTCCGTTCGATATTTTGCGGGCAAAACGGGATTCCGTTTGTGTGTGGCCGACCGTTCGAAATTCCGAAACGGAATCTCGAAACGGAATTACGTATGTATATGGCGGGCCTAAACAACCATCGACATAATAATATATACCTACATGAAAAATAATCATCGAGAATTAATATGTTAATTTGCGGCACCTAGCGGAGAGTAGAAACATTTTTACTACTATTCATGGATAGATGGCGTAACTAAATCATTTCTACTTCTAAGAGAACTACAGTTATGTGATTTCTACATTATGGTTTTATAGTTTTGTATTAAATTAAGAAAATGGAATTATTCATAAAAACATTTTTCGCCTATAATTTCCCATATTTTACTATCGCCTATAATAAGTATCCTATATTCACGCTTTATAAACGGAAATGGCAATCGCAGATAGTCAGTCATATTTTAAATGAATGCCATACAAATCTAAATCAAATTTCCGTCTCCGGTCCATGATAATATATTAAATCATGTAGGTGAACCTATTACTGTAAAATATATGTTACTTTTTATTTATTGGTAGCCCACGTTACACGTCATAGGTATAATGTGTTTTTTATATAGTAATGGTGATTATACTGTGATCCATTGACACTAACATCTATCCGATTAAGAATAAAAATGCAGATGTGTTGTCAACC